CTCATTTTTCTGTTTTAAAGAGCTTTGTTCTGGAAGCAACACTGGCTACTCAGTAACTGTGGGTGGGCTGAAAAAGGCAGACTTGGTGGAGGTTGCTAAGGAGCAGCTACCTGGAAACTACTGATGAGACAGAGCTTTGGTAGAAAATGCAGAAATCCAAGGAAGGCATTTCACTCTATGATATCGTAGAGTTCAGATCAGACTAGGCTGTATAATAGGATGTGGTTTTGTGGGTTTAAAACCTTTTTTCTTTTTGAAAATTGAACTTGCTTTACATTTGAGTTGGTCTTACATTCATCCTGGTAAGGTAAATTAGGTAATAAATGTTCTCTTACACTTTATCAAGGCATTTACTGCTGTCGTCACTCCTTCAGGGCCAGCTCAGTTTCCCCAGCTTCTCCAGTTGAACAGTTGTGCTCAGATCAGCCTAATTTTAATTTTAACAGCAAATTCTGTTGAGTGCTCGCTGTGTACCAGAGGCTGCTAGGTATGGGGGATGCAGATATGAAGGGATGGACAAGTTGTCAGAGATGAGAGTGAGAAGCTCTCATGAGGATGTGGTGATCAAGGAAGGCTTCCGGGAAGAAGTCATCTCTCAGCTGGGGTTTGGCAGGTGCCTCAGCGTTCTGTGGGCTGTCAGGTGGGCAGAGGGAATACCACGTGCCAAGGTGAGATAGGCTGGAAATAGTCTGGGCATTCGGACACTGTTGTCAGTTTAGTGTTGGCAGAGTGTCAAGTGTATGTGTATACTGGGGAAGAGGAGGGGCCGAGGGAGCCGGAGACCTGGTCGTGGAAGGTCATACGTGTCTGCTCTGAAGTGCATTGTGGCCTGTAGAACTTTCTGTTAGAGTGCTATAGGGTCACACCTGAGACAGGAATCCTGCCCTGTGCTTGTTAGTCCTGTAATCCTAGACAAGAAGCTTTATCACTTCACAGGGTGGTTGTGAGGATGACTAAATGACATAACATGTGATGTGTGGCCCACGGTGGGTCCTCAAAGAGACTGCTCTTGTTCCTCCCCCTTGGCTGCCCGCTCTCTGCTCTAAGAGAAATTCTTTGAGGGCAGGCCTCATACCCCTTGCTCCTAGAGCTCATCCTGCGCTTGTGGAAAGCATATTTCCTCTGACATCCATTTCCTTCACCTGACACGCCTGCTGTCTAAAGCAGTAGCCCTTATACCCGGAACGCTGTCTCCTGTTTTTCTGTTTATTCCTTAATAGGAAACCAGACCGTTCTGACTAATTGTCTGAGGTGACCTTGTCTTTAGAATAAAAAATCAGGGTAAATGTTCCTTCAGAGGATTTTTGCCTTGGTCTTGGGTGTGTGAATGCCAGGTTAGTACTTTGATGCTGAAATAATGGAATGTCTTAGGGCATTATTCTGCTTTATGGGGAGAATGGGATATAATATTTAAATGTTTTGTGAGTCAAATGGCTGCTGTACTAGGATGGAATTTGTCTGATGGCCAAGTGTGTATAGTTTTAAGTGACATTGAAATGAAATCTGGGGAACTTGAATGAAATTATTAAAAAAAATAGTTCTCATTGGGTTTACCATTTTCTTTCTTTTTAATGCTCAGCACCTTGTTCTGTCCCCTAGTTGCATTGCCTTGAAATTACGGGAGGGTTTGTACCTTGCTCTCTTGCCTCTGTGCACAATTGCAGTCATATTTGAAATTCTTTTTTTTCTTTTAAAGGTCTCATACATTTATTACTGAGCCAAAGCATTAGTGCAGAAATTCTGACACAAAGAGGAAAATCATCTTCCCAATTAAACACATCCAGCCGTTTGGATAGTAGTGATGTTTTCAGTGATGTGCTAAGATGCAAGTGACCTTGACGCAGCATAGACACACATGCCACCTCCTGTGCGGCTCCTTATAGACCCAGCGTGGTTCTTCTGCCTGGCTTCTCTTGGAGTGTTACCTGGTTTTATTACCAGTTTGCATTCGAGTCCATTGGAGAATGGGACTGTTCTGCTTTTGTTTCTTGGCCAAGAATCGCTTGATCCTGAAAGTCTTGTGAGAAGACATGGCGAGGAGCAGATTCAACCGCATATAGGACGTGGCGAGGAGGGGAGAAGGGAGGAGGAAGCAGGGGGGAAGGATGTGTTTAGAAGGCTCATGTTTGAAATTCTGACTTCACTTTCTAGATGGCAGACACACGTTCGGAGTTTCCTAGAAACCTGTTGACAAAGTCAGTGTGCTCTACTGCCTGGCACTTCTGTGTATTTCTGAAAAGGGGGCGCCAGAGTCCTCCTTTCTTAAAAAGCTAGGAGCAGGAGCTAATTTGCAGGTGATTTAGAAATTGTTTTTAATGTGAAATTCCCCTTTCTTTTCAAATTTATTTGGAGTCCGCTTATCTTTGGTCTCAGGGGACACAGAATCAGGCAGTTTAGCAAGCTTCTGCTTTCCAGAAAACTTCTCAACTCTGTGCATGTGCGTGTGTGTTGGGGGCATGATGTAAAAGGGGAAGCAGAAATACAACAATACAGCGTAATAAGGACCCCTGTGTCCTTTGTGTGTTTATCTCCCCTACACCTTCTAGCTCTTTAAGAAAAAAGTCACTCTCTCTGATATATGAGAAGCATCACTACATTAGATAGACACTTCTTGTTCTGACAGTTTAGATATAGTATATGTTTCCACTTACGGAAATTTTGTCTGCAGTTTTTCTGAGGAAAAAAAGCTTTGATAAAGGAAGAATTATTATATTGGGAGGGAAATAGTTTTCATTTCCTAAAATATTAGATGAAGCTGAGCAGAAGGAAATGTGTGTGCCCAGGAAAAATAAGAGTAAAATTAATTTGTTAAACAGCCAAAGAAAGGATGGCCCAGGAGAATATACAGGACAAGTAATTTTTAGGGAAAAATGCCTTTAAGGTAAGTTGGATTTTCCCTTTTACAGGAATTGATTACAGTTTTCCACAGGGTTGTTAGCACTTGGGTAAAATAGCCCCCCTTCGCCTGTCCTTTTTTTGGTGAGGTGTATTTCAGGCCTCTGGTGTGTTTATTACTCTTGGGCTCTTTGCAGAGATATTCTCGGTCTAGGTTGGAAAAGGCGAGCCTACTGTTGGGCACTCTGCAGAGCATTTTGGATCTAGCAGTAATTTTTTCCTGAGATTTCCTTATTTGCAATTTTCTTGTTTCTTCATGACAGCTGTCCTTTGTTTTCCACATAAAACCAGCTCGTTCTTCACTGCTAAGCCCAAGACTGGTTCTCACCCGTGCCTGAGAGCAGAAACTTGGGTTACTTTCCCCCTTGATCTCTGAAACTCAGAGTAAACGTGTGACTCACAAACCATTAGTAGCCTTTGACTCTAATTCCAGATTGTCCGCGACATGTGTGCTATGAAATTCTGAGGTTTGTTTTTGGTGAATTTGTGTGTGTGTGTGTGTGTGTGTGTGTATGTGTGTAGTTTTATTTGGGTGTACAAGTTTTATATCTCTGTAATTTCTGTCTCCTTTCCAAAGGGCCTTGAATATCTCTTTCGGTTCCCCCCACTTTTTTTTTAAGAAGAAAAAATTGTGAGAGGGGAAAATGGGGTTGCCTTTTGCTCCCAAAGCCTAAATGAATAGTCATTGCCTGTAATGCCGTCTGCACTCGTCGCTTCCCACTGCTTTAGATGTGATGTATCCAGTGCTGTGAAGGTAATGATCCTCAACCGCAGCAATATTCCCTAACAGGAGTATCCGTCATATTCATCGGGATTACCATGTTCATTGATTTGTGTCTGTAAATCTGCTGTTTCTACCCTTTAAATTTGATCTATAATTGGACCTCCTTAAATGGTTCAGATAAGGTAGTCTGTATTTTCTCAATGCAGCGATGCTGTCAGCTTCTCCTTTTTCATTATACATTCAGCAGACTTGATAAAATCAGCAGGACACCTCATTTGAAACTGTTTAATCGCTGCCTTTTTCCTTTGCTAAACCATTGAGGTGGTCAAGCGATGTACACAAATCATTTTAAATAGAAAATATGGTTTTCTCTATGACCCAGCTAAATAGATAGTGTTATGCAAAACAAGTTAAAAAGTAATAAATGCCAAAAAAATCTTCTAATTGGAGTAAAAAATTGTGGGCAACTCTATCCTCTCTCCAAAAGTAGAGTATCCTGAAATATTGCCAGGGCCCTGTAAAGACAAGATGATGGTTTTCTGAGGATTCTCTGGTTTCCTAACAAAGCAAGTTTAAATTTCCAAGTAGTGCTGAGCTGCCTTTTACATCCATTCAAAGGGAGCCCATACTTATTTGTAATGCCTTTACATCCTACTTTTGTAGGGAGAAATTTGCTCTCTGTTAATATCTATGCAGCATAACCTTTCAGCCATTTGCTATTGTGGTAATAAATTTTTGTTTCTTTGTCTGTCATTTTGTCTACTCAGCTGTTACTCTTCAAAGTACAAACTAAAAATAATAGCTCCAAATAAATGCCACATAATAAAGTGTTTTACAGTTGTAGCTGGAATAACCTGGTGGCTGCAGCTTGCAGGCCTATTACCATTGCTGGTGCTGTAGTTTCTTCCCCGTGTGTCAAGGTGACTCTACCAGGGCCAGCTCATTAAAGCAATCTCTTCTTTCTAACTGGCTTGGTATTTAGCACCATACCCAGCAGCCTGCCAAGGCCCAGTTGTGGAGCACAAGGCTCACTACATAGGATATATGAAATTACGTGGCATTCGCTTTTTGAACACATACGAATTATCCATAACCTCATTTTCATGCTTCAGCATTTTATTATGAATAATTTACAGTTATTCCTGTCAATAGTAGAAGTAGGACCAGTTGCAGGTTTACCCGAGATGGTGGTAAGTGTGACTCCAGGCTTTTGAAGAGCAGTGTTTATCTGTTTTTTTTTGTGGCCCTATAGTATTAATATTTACACTGTATTTGAGTGTGACATTGGGTGTGTGTTGCCATTTTTGCTGCCCCGAGGTAAACTTGAGATGGAGAAGCTGGGAGTTGGTAAATATGCTAAAAATGCATCTTTTTCTTACAGGTTCTGGCTCCTTGGCAGCAATGGCCGTGTTTGAAGATAAATTTAGGCCAGATATGGAGGTACAGTTTTATTCTCTATCAGATATCTTTCCAGTTGTGTGTCGGACATTAACAAATTGCTGATTCCTCCAAAGCTTGTGTGGCACTGTTGTTAGTTGGAATGCTTTTTGGCACAGACACTGTTTGTTGAGAAGACTGGTTACTTGGGAAAGCTTCGTTTTGGAGCGGCCCTGCTGTGCCCTCCCTCAGGCTCTTCAGCTTTTCCTTCTGGCCTCTGGGCTGTCTGGGAATCTTCTTGGCTATAAATGCCGCTGTAGTGTAGAATGTTTTCTTATGTTCTAAACTTTGTGTGTCACGATAGCTTGAAATGACAGGTTTTTTGTTTTCTCACCAAGAATAGAGAAACTGTGTATGTCTTTGCATGTCACACAGACCTGGTCTGAAAATGAGGGCAATTTGAAAAATCCCTGTAGATTGTTGTGCATCTGGCAGGAGATAGGAATGATGTCATGTGTGTAGTGGGCTATTCCCTGTGTGATGGAACTAGTGTTTCATATATTTATAAGAGATTCTTCTGTGGTGGTAGGGAGGGTGGTATCTTCTGAATGACATGCCACCCGAGTCTGCTTTAATGATAGATGCCCCCCTTCCCCTATTAAGGAACCCCTGGCCCCCCAAATCTCCAAGAGCAAGCCCACAGGTCTTTCATTGTCATATTCAAAGGAGTGTTCAGTGTGCTCGGATACTTTATGGTACCACATTATTCCTCCACTGTGCTTTATTCTCGCTGCTAAACCAGCTTGTAGGCACAGTAAGTCCTGAAGGCAGTCATCATCATCTGCCCTGGGTTTTTGGATAGATGTTAATTTTTTGATGGGGAGTATCAACTTGTTTTCAACAATTATTAGTCTGTTTATGAGTGTTACCCTATTCCTTAATATGTGTGTTTCTGCTGTTCCTGCCTTTGCAGTTTTATTTGTTTACCAGAGGGTGTTTTGGGGAATTACTTTTTGACAATGCCTCATCATTGTTAGAAAAGACTGCATGTTTAAAAACTTCTATTCTTCTGTGGCTCATTGTCATTAGAACATAAAGAGTCATTGGAGCTCGGAAGCTCTCAAATCTTTAGGTTTGGGACAAGTGCCAGGAGAGCAGAGAAGGTAGGTTGTGGATGCTGCTCAGCTGCAACAGGGGTCTCCTGCCAGGAGTCACCACGCCCTTGGTACATGAGGAGAGCACACTTAAGTGACTTGGTCACTGATGGCTAGTTTTCTTCCCTTTCTTGAACACCTGCAGGAATTAAAACGTGACTAAAGATAGCTAGGTGTTTTGTACTAGAAACAATAGTGTCTTGCTCCAATTAAGACTAGTAAACAGGTCCAAGTATCAACTATAAATGAGATTAGAATTCTGTTCTCATTTCTCAATGTGAAAGTTTATTCCCATATCAGCATTATTTTCTGTTTGGACTTCTTAAGTACAAAGGAAAAATAAGATATACTAGGTCACTTAAAAAGGAAAAGAAAAAATGTTCTCCCAGTCTTCAGACTGAAGGAGAGGAATTCCTGAGGCTCCACAAATCTATTATAACTGACAAAGGTATGGGGAGAAGGACTCTGATGATTTCCGTTTAGAAAATCACCTCAGTAATGTCAAGCCCTCCTTTAAACCACATTAATCTTTTCAAATTTTCTTGAAAGCCTTGTCTATTTCCAATTGATTGGACTATCCATATCTTAAAGAAAAATGAGAATTGCAGAAACTTTTGAAAGCATGAGGTATATTAAGTGACTTAACACTACTAAAGTAATTTTACATTATTTATTTAGAGTTTGGGTTTGAAATGAGTCAAAGGCCATGGATTTAATATTGCTGTGACTTAGGGAAGTAAAAGGAAATGAGATCATCCCTTCAGTAAAACATCTGATACTATCAGTCTGAAGCGTGTGTTCCTTAGGTCAGTTTAATCTGAAACTCAGACCACTTAACATTGTGTTAGCTGTGAGACCTTAGAACAGGTTGACCAAATTTCCATTTCATATTGACTAATTAAATTTACAGTGTCACGTGGCTGGTTTTTATTCACTGAAGTTATGAAACTTCAGGCTGACAATCAAGAAAAATCACTTTCGGAGAAGGTACTTGCTTCTTTAGTGAAGTAAGTTTAAAAGTAAATAGAAGGCAAATAGTATAACCATTGTCAGTAGTTAATACTGTAAAAGTGTAAAGGGGTTTTAATAGATACTAAAATTATTGTGAAGTCCAGGCAACTAACTGCTGGCTATCTACCTTCTTTCGGTGAAGATTAAATGATGTGGTTTCAGTGGAAGGCTGAGGCTGCTTAGCAAAGTTGAGATGACACTGTTTTAGTGACTTTGATATGAAGGAGAAATCTGCCAAGGTATCATTTCTGGCTCTGTAATTACGTAGAACTCGTGGAAGTGTTTGGTTTCAAATTTACAAATTTTTTATTTTCTTTCTTTCCAAAAAGGCTTTCTGTCTTTCTGTGGCAAGAAGCCCTCCATGACTTTTCTTTCTTGCCTATTTTGAGACTGGAGGGTTGAATGACTGCTTATTTCCCTTCAGTAGGGGAAAGGATTCTGGATGTGTCTCAAACAGAGACCCAGGAGAGCATTTTTGCCTCTGAAATCTTGCGTGGATTGCCAGGGCGGTAACTGCTGCACATTTCACAGAGAGTTGCAGTGGGAGGGGGCAGTTTTAGGCTATCATAATTACAAATTGCTTGCCAAACAGTAATTTTTAGGCCAGACTCATGAAATAAACTCTTGGCTTTATTGCTAAAACAAACTAGAGAAAACCCATAGTCTTTTTTTTAAAATATAAACCGGTGCCTTGGACAGTGCTGGGCCTAGACTATAGTATTTCTGGAATGAAAATCTCCCTCCTTAAAAACCTGTAATGTTTTCTCATTGTCTTCAGCTGCACAGTCTGCACAGTGCGGTAGCCACCAACCACACGTGGCTGTTGCGCGCTTGAGTGTGGCTAGTCTGAACTGAGAGCTGCTGCAAGTAGAAGACACACCAGATTTCAGAGACTTGGTACAAAAAAATTTAAGAATATCTCAATAATATTTATATTGATTGTATGTTGATACAATACTATTTTAAGTATATGGGTTAAACAAAAATATTAAAATTGTTTTCACCTATTTTTACCTTTTGAAATGTAGCTACTAGAAAATTAAAAACTACATATGTGGTTCACATATTTCTGTTGGACAGGGCTGGTCTTGAACTCGTCATTTGCACACATACACCATTTAAGGATTCTGCCATATCTGGGTGCCACTTGTACTGTTATTTTTCTTGAAATTTTTCTTTTACATCAACTCACTGTTTTATAAATTGAGTTATCATTTACATATAATAAAATAGACACATCTGAAGTGTGTACAGTATGATAGATTTTGGCATTTGTGGTTACCCAAGTAACCATCAGTCAGATCAATACAGAACATTTCCTTCCCTGCAAAAGTGCTCTTTTCCAGTCAATTCCCTTTCCTCCCTTCCCTGAAACCACTCTAGTTCACCTTTTAATTTAAATTTATTTTTAAAATAGAGTTTATATCTATGAGATCCTGGATTTGATATGCTGGTTATTTTTTTCTCTAAGACACATGAAAATGAGTGCATACTATTAAGATAAATAAAGAATATATTCATGTATCACTGTCATGTGTAAGCCCAGGGGTATGAATATTAAACTTTAGGAAACACAGGTCTGCATTCCTGCTCCACTGCAGCCCTCCTCGCCTGCTTGCTGTTCTTTGAATACAGTATGTACTTGCTTGCCGTTGAATCCTTCTCGCTGCTGGTGTCTGCCAGCGGCGCCCTCAGTTGCTTCCTCATTTGTTTGTGTTCCTGTGCTCCATTGGACACCCCCGTCCCATTGTTTTATGGCTGTTTCCAGGGTCATCCTCCCCACGTGCTGAGAGAGGGAGACCCTTGAGGGCAGGGGTCATAAAATCATCTCTTCTCTTCAGCTCCTAATGTTCAATACACGTTTGTTGAGTTGAGACAGGATAACCCTGAGCTTAAAGCAAAATCTGAGTCATCAAAAACCACCTGGGAAATGGAGGGGACTTTCTCTTCTTCCCTTCTGGAAAGTGCTGATTTTTTTTTTCCTGCGGTAACAGAAGACGATAACTAGTACATTTCTCAAATAATTCGCAGTACTGGGGCAGAGTCAACAAAGCAAACACCTCCTCTTAGTAGACAGACAAAACAAAGATGGGGAAAGGGCAAATGCTCACTGGGAAATTACAGGCCGAAAAGCAGAACAGTGAAACCCAGCTCAGATTCATAAATGCTTAAGCCGGCCTCTGCTGTTTCAGGTAATCTGAACCGATGACTTGCCTCAGGTAAAAGCCCTGGCTCAAGGTTTCAGAGGAACTGCCGGCTAACCAAGTGACTTGAAGGCCCGTTAAAATTTTTTAAAAATTCTCATCCACTTGTGGCCCTAACACTGCCTTTCCTAGCCTTGTGATGCTCATTTTCCTGTTTGTCTCCTTGCTGTTAGCCTAGAAGTTCTCTGAGGCCAGGAACTGGGCCTGTTGTTTCTGTCCCCTCACCCCTAGCATGGTCACCGGTGCCCAGCAGGTATTCAGCCAAGGTTTGTTGAATGAGTGGATTAAAAAGGAGTCAGAAGCAGCTTTTCTTGGTTGTTCCCAGATTGAAGTTGTTCCTCTGAAACAGTTTAATAACTTTACCTTTAGTGTTTATAGTACTCAGCTTGAAAGACATGAGAGTATAAAAAAATTATATTACCTACTGGTGATAAATCTGATGCTGCGTTTTTATCAGCAGAGGTGCTTATTCAGACATTGTACCTGTGCATTAGCAGAACACATGTGTGGGCTGAAATGTGTGAGATGACCTAATGACAAAGGGCCAGTTGTATTAGAGGGCTTTTTGGTGATTATGAATTGCATGGAGCCATTCCCTTAGAATTTTTTTTCCTGTTGTTAAGGCTGGCATAAGAACTAAGCTCCTGATCCTGGTTATTACCCACAGGCTGGCTAGACAGGAAATTAGTGAATA